CCTCTTTCTGTTTTCTCGGTTTTCCTCCCTCTGAATCCTCCCTCTGAATCCTCCCTCCGTATCCTCCCTCCGTATCTTCCCTCGCTCCGTATCCTCCCTCTGTATCCTCCCTCTGTATCCTCCCTCTGTATCCTCCCTCTGTATCCTCCCTCTGTATCCTCCCTCTGACACCTCTCTCTGTCTTCCTCACTCTGCATGCTCATTCCGTCTCCTCTCTCTGTTTTCCTCCCTCTGTATCCTCCCTCTGTCACCTCTCTCCCTTTTACTACCTCTGTATACTCCTTCTGTCACCTCTCTCTCTGATTTTGTACCCCTGTATCCTCCCTCTGTCACATCTCCGTCTGTTTTCCTCCCCCTGCATCCTCCCTCTGTCACCTCTTTCTGTTTTCCTCCCTCTGTATCCTCCCTCCGTTGCCTCCCTCTGTTTTCCTCCTTCTGTATCTTCCCATTGTCTCTACTCTGTTTGCTTCCCCTTGTGTCTTCTCTGTATCTTTCCTCTGCCACCTCTCCCGTTCCATGAGAGAAAGATGCTCATGCTCGGTTGGTGGCACATGATGAGCCGTGTGGCACTGATGCCACCTGTTGCATGCGAGCATGATGCTCATGCTTGGTTGGTGGCAGAGGATGAGCTGTATGGCACTGATGCCACTTGTTGCATGAGAGTTTATGGTGGTGATTTCCTTAAGGTGGGTGATTGGAAGAGTGGGGTGGAGGCTGAATCACTTGAGGGTGAAGAGAGAGAGGGACGTTGGCAGAATTTCCTAAGGTGAGTGAGTGGGTGAGGGATGGTGACTGAAACCCCTTAGGTGGGTAAGTGAGTGGGAAAGAGAATGGGGACTGAAACCCCAAAGGCGTGTGGTGAGTGGGGGAGAGAGATGGGGGCTGGAACCCCTTAGGTGGGTGGGTGGGTGATTTGGGATGGAGGCTGAGGTCTGTAAGGTAGGTGGGTTAGTGGGAGAGAGGGATGGGGTGCAGCACACCTCTCACTGCAGCGCCCTTCCACTCTTCCTGCTGCCTCCCAACGGCAGTGCTCTGTGTGCTGCTCCTTGTGCTGGTAAGCTGGTTTGGGTGAGCAGAGTGGGTGGATTGAAAGGTGGGAGATGGTGGTGATGGTGGTTGTGGTAGTGGGTGGTGATGGTGAAGTGGGTAATGAGATGTGAGAATGGGTTGGGATGAAAAGGGCGAGATGAGGCAGAGTGGGTTGGGCAGTTTAAGAGATGAGATAGAGTTGTATGATACTGTGTGCTACGATAAGGTTTGCTATGAAACAGAGTGAGCTTTTGGGTCGACTCAAAAGTATGATGAACTGTGCTATGATATAGAGTGATGATGAGTTTGGTGTGAATGACTGTTTGGTATGCTACAGTGACGGTTTGGTATGCTACAAGGACTGTTTGGTATGCTACAAGGACTGTTTGGTATGCTACAGTGATTGGGTGAAATAGCCTTAAATGCCTCTTCTCTGTGTTTCTCTTCTTCTCTGTGTGCCATGCTCATTGAAACCGTTCTCATCCACAGGCGTTCCTTCGCTTCTCCTGCGGGCCATGCAGGTTCCCTGCCTGCCATCACTGCAACGTCTCATGCTCACACACGATTCTGTTGTGACGTGTAAAGAGTGAAGTTTTGAGACGTCTCAAAACAGGCGTTCCTTCGCTTCTCCTGCGGGCCATGCAGGTTCCCTCCCTGCCATCGATGCAACGACTCATGCTCACACACACGATTCTGTTGTGACGTGTAAAGAGTGAAGTTTTGAGACGTCTCAAAACAGGCGTTCCTTCGCTTCTCCTGCGGGCCATGCAGGTTCCCTCCCTGCCATCAATGCAACGACTCATGCTCACACACACGATTCTGTTGTGACCCCTTGCTGCTTCTCATTCTTTCGTCATTCCAACCCAACGCATTGGGGGTTAAGGTGAAGCCTGTTTCCATCCTCAGGCGTTCCTTTCCGTCTGAGGCAACACGCCTTCCTCCACTGGAACAAAGGTGGTGGCGGCTCCCATCCTGGGGCACCTCTCATGCCACCTCTCACCTGCCTGGAACCACTTTTCCATCACTGCTGTTGGCAATCTGCAGACTAGTAGATTAGGTACATGGTACGTAGTGGGAAATTCCGCAATCATTCCACAGGACTGCAATAATGTGCAACCATTTTTCTTCCATTCCTATCAATTTGTTGGGAATTTCTGAGATGCCTTAAAGCCGGCAGCCCAGATTGCACAAGTTTTAAAAACTTGGCCCTGGGGTTCTGCGGGTGGCGAGGGGTGTGAAAGTGAAAGTCGGGAGCCGAAAGAAGGCACACCCAGTAAGCGAACTCGCGAAGTGTTTAGCGAACTGCCGAGTCAAACAGCACAAAACCAGCCAATAGAAATTGTCACACGGCGAGCCACACACCACGACCCAAAAACACAACAGAACACTTCCGCAGCACTTGCGCTGCCACACACACAACACCACGACCTGCGCTTTCGACCACCAACCATAAGGCCCGCTAGTTCTTGACTGCATATAGCGGCCAACTATAGTAGGCGGCACGAGCAAGCACACTTGCTCAGTCAAATTCTTAGCATTACGACAGCCATAAAGGTACACTCCAGAGAGATAAAACATCATACGACCGTCATCAACAAACAGAAACACCGCATTCGCGACGGCTTGATAGGGAATATGGCGGGCCGTCGACCTGGAAAGGGTGCTTCCCGAAGGTACGAAAAAGCCGTAGACACGGCACGAACGTCGGCGCATTCTGAAAGCATCATACTGCGGCTAAATATCAAACACCGAATTCCAGCGCTTAGAACCTCATATGAGACTACACTTCCGCTCAATAGATAGTGACGCCACTTCACCTTCCTCAATTCACCATCCCGCGCGGCTTCACTTCCCCCTCCCGTCGCCTCCACTTCCCCCTCCCGTCACCTCAACTTCCCCCTCCCGTCGCCTCCACTCCCCCTCCTATCGCCTCCACTTCCCCTTCCCATCGCCTTCAATTTTCCTTCCCGTCGCCTCCACATCCCCCTCCCGTCGCCTCCACTTCCCCCTCCCGTCGCTTCCACACCCCCCTCCAGTCGCCTCCACTCCCCCCTCCCGTCGCCTCCACTTCCCCCTCCCATCGCCTTCCCTTTTCCAAGCACACTCGCCTCCACTTCCCCCTCCCGTCTCCTCCACTTCCCCCTCCCGTCGCCTCCACTCCCCCCTCCCGTCGCATCCACTTCCCCCTCCCGTCACCTCAACTTCCCCCTCCCGTCGCCTCCATTCCCCCCTCCCGTCGCCTCCACTTCCCCCATCACAACGCCACCACTTCCCCCTCCCACCGCCTTCCCTTTTCCTTCCCGTCTCATCCACATCCCCCTGCCGTCACCTCAACTACCCCCTCCCGTCTAGTCCACTTCCCCCTCCCGTCGCCTTGCTGTTCCCTTCCCGCCGCCAGAATTTCCCCCTCCCGTCGCATCCACTTCCCCCTCCCATCGCATCCACTCTTCCCTCCCATCGCCTTCCCTTTTCCACCCCGTCTCCTCCACTTCCGCCTCCCGTCTCCTCCACTTCCCCCTCCCATCGCCTCTGCTTCCCCATCCCGTCGCCTCCACTTCCCCCTCCCGTCACCTCAACACTCTGCTCCACAAACCCCTCATTTCCACCACTCCACCCACACACACCTCATTTCCACCACTCCAGCCCTGTTCATAGCTCAGTATAATTCTTGTGCCACGTCAAGTAGTGGCACAGTATCATTGCCTTGGACCAGCCCTCCTTGTTGCTGTAATCCCACCACTCCATCTGCCACTTGCTGGGCCAGTTGATCAACTGGACATATGATACGCTAATGCTCAATCTGTCCTTTCCCCACACCACTCCCGCAGGGGAATTGCCAACCAATCTGCGCTGATGCAAGCGGCACGAAATGGCGGTGCGGGCGTAAACGCAAGTCTCATCAAGCGTAGGGTTCTCCGACCATGGCTGGTGAGCAAACCTTGCCACACCAATATGTGGGTTTGGAGCTTAGTGGTGAGAAGGACCATGGCTGGTGGTACGCACATTTTTTTGTGGGAGGGCTTGTGTGTGGTGTTCCCATGTATACATTTCAGCAACTGAGTGCTGTAACCATTATATGTACAACGCCCCTCATTCAACACCCGCAGATTTGTCCTTCTTTTGCCCACTCACTCTCCCCTTCCCACGCATGGCTCCTTTCATCCGTGCTATTGCCAGAATATTGTTTCAACCTTGACTTGCCATTGAGCGTGGAGCTTCTCAGTATCGCCCAAGGGAAGAAGAAGCCCATCCAAGTGTACTAGGCATGGGGATGTTTAGAAGTCCATCTCAATCAATTCGGCATCATGTGCCGCGGTTTTCGGTTGCTCTGCGTACTGAACATTTCGATAACTCGTCATATAACTCTAACAGCATCCCGCAGGACATGGACGGGTGTGAGGCAAGGCACAGCCATGTGCTCGCTGCAGCTCTTTTTACCCATTTCAAAAGAGGAACCCATGTCTGTATTGAGTGGACTACTATATCGTCTCGTGCTCGAGCACAGTTGGTACTCATCATACAATACTCTTGCCTAAACACAAGTCTCGTGCAATAGATTAGTCTTGTAGCCTGTGTTGTAGTAGCATGGGACCTACTGCTTGGCAGGACTAGTTACGCAGGGTGTTTAGGGTGTAGCAGGTCCGCGTGATGCTCAAGAAATTCGCTACTATTGGACACGTGAATGCTGGAGCCTCTGCAATGCAGACATAGGCAGGAAGGACAGGGAAGATGACGAATGTTATAAGAAGGCATACGGTATGGGGAACGAAATCACAGGGAAGATGCTGAAAATAATAACAGGGCAGAGTTGTGGGGAATTAGAAAGAGTGGGGAATCAGCGAAATCGCCTATGACTGGAGGAGTGAGATGGGCCGAGTGGGGAGAAGGAGGCATGAATTCAGGTAAACTCCGACTGCAGTCACAATGCAAGAGATTCTGGTGGAGAGGCAGGGAGAGAGGTATAAGTGTACGATGGGCAAGTAGGCAGCTGTAGACTCTGATTGAGTGGAGTGGAGTAGCCATTCTGTGCATCAGCAGCAGAGGCGGCGGAAGGATGGAAACTGCTGAGCCTCCACAGCCTGGGGGGTGGCATGCTGCTGCAAACGAGGCGTGATGTGGAACTGGCATGCAGGTTTGCCTGAGAGGGGAGGGGGAGGAATAGAGAGGAGGGGCAGGAAAAACGGAATTGATTTTCTGAGAGAACGACTGGAAGAAATTGGGGGGGAAGAAAGAGGGGTGTGCGGCTTTACGCCACGCCTACCCTACTGCATGGTGTGCGCCCGCCATGCCACGCCATCCACTCGCCCGCCTCCTGCTCTCCCTCCAAGCCCGCTGCTCACCCACCATGCTGCTGGGGAGGGAGGAGGGGTGAGAGGAGGACGGGAGGGGGAAAGGAGGAGGAGAGGAGGTGAGGAGGTGAGTGGGAGCCCGGGTGCAGCGGAGTAGGGGGGGAAGAGCCAAGGGCGGTTGTGAGGTTTGGGGGTTCGTTTTATGCATTGCGTCCACTTCTACACCCTGTGTTGGTGTCATTGAGTTGCGTAGGTACAACGCAAATCATGTGCGCGTCATGACTGCTCCCAAAAGGCGCTGCTGCCAATGAGCCCCCGCGCTGCGGGGACAGACCAACCAACCATACCCGTCAGGGCACGTGCGATCTCGCGGACGTTGGGCGATAGACACGCCATCATGGCTGCAGTGAGCAGAGAGCGCACTGCTACCCTGGCCTGAGGGCGCCGATATGAGCTGCGCTCTCATTGCCACATGTGCGTAGAACACGCGCAAGTGCCACCAGATCGCCACTCGCCTGGGTTAGGAGGAGAGGCGAGAGGGGGAGGGTGGGGGGAGGTGGATGGAAAGGGGGGATGGAAGGAGAGGAAGTTTGTTACACCCCTCACACGAGGGGCCAGGCCCGGACTCGACCTCGATGGCGTGGACCGTGGCACGGGTGCGGGACAGCAGTGAAAGTTGGAGAGGGGGAGCCCACACGGAGGCGCGGAAAGGAGAGAAGAATATAGAGATCCTATGAGACGTAGGGGACGCAAGGCCATGAAGAGGATGCGGCGGAACGAAGAGGGAAGGGGAGAGGAGGGAAATGAGGCGAGGAGAGGGGAGGTGCGAGAGGAAGAATAGGGTGTTGAAGGAAGGAGCTTTGATCACGATGGCGCAAAAGGGACGCCAATTTGCTGCCCACGGACAGGCGGCGGGGAAGGGTGGGGAGGGGAAATGGGGACAGTGGGGAGTGAGTGAGCAGTAAGCGAAGGCATGCCCAGCGCTCCCCCGCCCTTGTCCAACCAGCATGTTCCACAGCAGCATTCCCCAACTCATAACACATCCAAAGGCTCGTCCCATTGTTTTCAGAGTAAGGCACAGCAATGCATCTCACCACTGCTGCCCTGTGCCTAGCGGGCCACCCGCGAAGAGCTGGAAGATGGGCAGCATCTTGCCCGCGCTCCCCATCCCTTGTCCAGCACAACACCGAAGCGGATTATCGCGAGGCGGGTTGACTCGGGCGAGACATTCTGCGCCTCTGCCTCCCACTTGGTGCACACCTGGTGAGCGTTGGCGGGGGAGAAGAGGAGATTGGGGATGGGTACGTCCATGCCTGGGGTGGGGTTGCGCAGAGAAGGCACAGAGGACTTGGAGGGAAGGCGAAGCAGGATCGGTTACAGAGAGATGAACGGGTGTTTGCCACGGCTGCTGCCCACCCCTCGGGGCCCACCAGCTCCTCTCCCTCCGCGCCTGGGATGGTGGGTGGTGAGACGAACACACAGGGAAATTGGATGGATGCGGAAAACAGGATCAGTAACATAGAAATGAACAGGTGTCTGCTACGGCTGCTACCCAACCCTCCGGCCCCACCAGCTCCTCTCCCTCCGAGCGGGACGGGGAAGTGGAGGGGGCGGGAGGGGAAAGGGACAGCGACGGGAGGGGGAAGTGGCGGCGACGGGAGGGGGGAGTAGAGGCGACGGGAGGGGGAAGTGGAGGCGACGGGAGGGGCGAGTAGAGGCGATGGGAGGGGGAAGTGGAGGCGACGGGAGGGGGAAGTGGAGGCGACGGGAGGGGGAAGTGGAGGCGACGGGAGGGGGAAGATGAGGCGACGGGAGGGGGAAGTGGAGGCGACGGGAGGGGGAAGTGGAGGGGGCGGGAGGGGAAAGGGACAGCGACGGGAGGGGGAAGTGGAGGCGACGGGAGGGGGAAGATGAGGCGACGGGAGGGGGAAGTGGAGGCGACGGGAGGGGGGAGTGGAGGCGACGGGAGGGGGAAGTGGAGGCGACGGGAGGGGGAAGTGGAGGCGACGGGAGGGGGAAGTGGAGGCGACGGGAGGGGGACGTGGAGGCGACGGGAGGGGGAAGTGGAGGCGACGGGAGGGGGAAGTGGAGGGGGCGGGAGGGGAAAGGGACAGCGACGGGAGGAGGGAGTGGAGGCGACGGGAGGGGGAAGTGGAGGCGACGGGAGGGGGAAGTGGAGGCGACGGGAGGGGGAAGTGGAGGCGACGGGAGGGGGAAGTAGAGGCGACGGGAGGGGGAAGATGAGGCGACGGGAGGGGGAGGGGAACATCGCATTCGTTGCATTGGTAGTTGTTTGCGCTTAGATCATTATGAATACGGACTGTAAACCAAAGCGCTGCGCGGAATTCCGCAGAGTCGCTCAGGCAAATCGAATGACGACACGGTTTTTTTTCCGGTCCGAGGCGTAGAGAGCGATGAGGACACACGCCTAAACCCCACGCGATCTCTGTCTACGCCATGAGACGCAGCGCGTCGAGGAGCACGACGTCGCAACAGCGCGCGAGGTGACGCGGCGCGATGTACGAAGCTGCGAGCAGCTTCGTCGACATGGCAAGTAGACGGAGTGCCGGTATGACTTGCTCACTATCTAAACGACCTTCGGTCATACGACGAACGCGACCATCGCCGTCGCGTCGTCTGGATGTGCGCTCTGCTGGAAGGTGGGAGAAACAGGCAATAGCACCAGTACCATCGATGCCCCTATTTTCCGCTGCTAGCGATTGGCATAGTTCCCAGTATATGCTACCGATTTAGAGCAGGCGTACCATGGCCGCCGCTAGTGTGCCTGAGAGTTGTGCGTCGGCTTTTGCGGGTGCTTTGTTTGTGTCCAAGAGTCCCAAATTGCACACCCTCGTTTTCAAGTTTTTGGGAGTGTGTTGGTTCTGCCGGACCCTGGTTTGCGATTCATGACGGCTGTGTTCAATCTCATTGGTTCACAACATTAGGGTAGTCAACTCTCATTGGCTCACCGCCTGTGTTGTGTCGCGCGGTCCTCTGTCTCCCAGAAACTTGGTAACCCGAAAGTGAGGGGGTCAAGTTTTAAAAACTTGACCCGCGCGGCTTGCAATTTGGGCCGCGGGCTTTAAAATGGATACCGTAAGTGCATTTGTGACTGCTTTTTTGCAAGATATTCAAAATGTGGCTAATAATACATCAATTGTGTGGTTTTCTTTTCCTAATGAATATAATGTGTCTTGTTGAGTACACAGCGGCATGAAAATCAGCCGCAGAGAGAAATATATTCGAGAAGTTGGGGAGGTAAATCCCTGCAAAATATCTGTCTCCACGCCAGGTATGTCCGTCATCCACGTGCTAAAAGTTGTTAAGGATATTATGCAACAACGCTCCTGTGATGGGTTCTGTAGCTGTGTGTAGAGGCTCTGTTTCAAAATGGAACAGGACAGCATTTCCACATAATATATCACCTTGCTAGGAGCTGACCCTTTTCACTGCACATAATGTGCAATGTAACAAGGCTGCTGGAAACGAATTTCAGCTACTATCGAGAGGCCAGGGATCCTCCCTCATCCACTCTCTCCAATTGGGCCACGCGTCGTGCAATCCTCGAGAAGGATGAAACGAGTTCGCGCAACCTCAACGACGTGTTACACTATGAAGAGACTCAACGATTTCTCGTAACTTGAGCTAGACGAAGATTTTTTCTGGCTGGTGGTGTTCGTTAGCCTTCGCGAGCCTTATCCTCTGATTTCAGCTTGTCATCCTCCGCCAGTGACAACCAAAGCAATTCACGCGTTATCTCCCTTTGGCATAGCTCCTCTGACACTTCCGTACGGAGCTTGCGAAACATCGCGATTTGGCGTCTATTCGCACGACATTTGCGTGGTTAATCAAAGCCTCGCATTTAATATTTTAAGGGAGACTGAGCCTGACGAGCGGCTTTAGACAATGGCGTCCCTCCCCGCATCGCCAGCCACACTGGCTGGTCCTCGAACCGCAGGTGCTCTCTCGTCAGTGATCTTCTTTTGTGCACACCCTTCTGTTGTCCATATCCTGTTTTGTCAACATACGTATCCTGGACCAATGAGCACTCATTAACGCTCATTCAATCTTACGACCATTACTGTGTTCTCCTCTGTACGTGCAACGGCGTTTGTAACCAAATGCGTAACCAAGTTTTCTAACCAGTGTGGGTTGATACCATCGTAAAACAGTTTCTGTATCGCCATAGGCAGCCGACAGCTGCACCTGTCTTCCCGTCGGTATACGCCTCTCTCGTACTTGCTCAGCCGATTGCTTCGATTTCCTCAGTATTCTCGGTCTGTGTATCCTCCCTTCCCGCTCCCCGCCCCTACCCCCATCCCCATCCCCATCCCCATCCCCATCCTCATCCTCATCCCCTCATTATTATACATTGAGTTTCCGGACACTTGAGTGTCTTTCCGCGTTCGCCATGCCCTCTTATGCAGCATGCGGCTGAGCATTCTTCCCTCTTATTCCATTCCAACACCCCCGTATTCCCCACCACGCAGCTTTCTCTCAGCTCAGGAGCATGTCGCATGCCGATCACCCTCCCCGTTTCACACCCCCGTATTCCCCTCCCCCATTCTTCCCTCTCAGCAATCGCCAAGGAGCATCTCCCTTACCACCCCAGCAGGCTAGCAGCCCGATCCAATTTTCCCCCTCTCCCTTCCCCCCCTTTTCCCCACCACCCCCTCCCCTCAAACACCTTCCCCTCCCCGTCCCTCCTCGCAGCATTCGCCAAGGAGCATCTCCCTCACCTCCCCAGCAGGCTAGCAGCCCGATCCCCTTCCCCTCGCTTCCTCGCATTCTCGAGACCGGTTGCAACCCAGGTCAGGAACAGAAGCCTATTGCTTACCTCAGACACACACACACACACGCACACACATACGCAACGCATGCCCATGCGACCAGATGTCTCCCTAGCTGATCCCCTTCCCCTCGCCTCCTCACATTCTCGAGACCGGTTGCAACCCAGGTCAGGAACAGAAGCCTATTCCTTACCTCACACACTCTCACACACACACATGCGCAACGCATGCCCATGCGACCAGATGTCTCCCTAGCTGATCCCCTTCCCCTCGCTTCCTCGCATTCTCGAGACCGGTTGCAACCCAGGTCAGGAACAGAAGCCTATTGCTTACCTCAGACCGCTTTGAGGCGCCTTTTGAGACGTCTCAAAAAACTATTCCTTACCTCAGACCGCTTTGAGGCGCCTCGGACTTTGATCTTAAACGCCTCGTAATTCGATTCCAAGGCGCTCAATAGTGGGTCAGCAGGTCTATCACTCTCATTCTCAGACAACAGAAGCCAGTCACCAATAGATTCAATTTCAGGGGTTTAAGCGTGGTTTATATCCGTTTATGGACTATTCAGGTGATAATTCAGGGGATTTTTTTTTCCCTTTCCCTGCCTACCATTGTACACTACTCCAGGGTGCCCAGGGAGGGGAGGCGGGGCCACTGAATTCCTCTGCAACACCTCTTACAGGGAACAAGGCACTTACCGCTGCTGGTAGCAGCAGCAGCAGCAGCAAACGTTTGTCAACAGTTGCCCATGCGACGCAGCAGCAAAAATCGTCGGGCTCTGCTGCAGCTGGTGGGTGGGTGCTTCAGAAAAGGCTGTAGTGTGTGTGCGTGTGTATAGATGGCTGGAAAGGAACGCGGTTGGGGGGGCGGGAGCTCGTGGGGGAAAGGGGGAGAGAGGGTTTCTGCAGCTGGTGGGTTCATGATTCAGACGAGCCTGCAGGCACATGTGTGCGTCTACGGGTAGGGTCTTTGTCTACGAGCATTAGTCGACAGTACAGTAGCCCAGGCAACAGCAGCAAAAATCGTCCGGCTCTGCTGCAGCAGGTGGGTGGGTGATTCAGTCGAGGCTCTCTAGGCGTGTGTGTGTGTGTGTGTTGAGGGCTGAGAAGAACTGGTTTGTGGAGCCAGGGGAAAGGGGTTGAATGTTGCTGCAACCGGTGAGTGCATGATCTACATGAGGCTGTAGGCGTGTGTGTGTAAAAGGTGTATGATGAGCCTGACTGACCCACCTTTTTGTTCTCCTTTTGAGTCGACTCAAAAGTCATGATCTACATGAGGCTGTAGGCGTGTGTGTGGAAAAGGTGTATGATGAGCCGGTCTGACCCACCCACCTCTTTGTTCTCCCTGCTTTTTCCCTCCCCCCCTGCCTCCCCTCCCCTCTGTTCCCGCCCCCCTTTTTCCAGTTGAGCACAGCAAGATTGACGTTGAGGACTTTTTAAGGGCAATTTACCCAAGGAATTCCTCATGCTCCTGGGTCTGCTCGCCCTATCCCGCGTGGGAATCTACATTCTGCTGTGGGGGGTCGATATCTCCGCCTTCCAGGAGCAACTGGGGGAGGGCTCATTCAAATATCAGTTACCCATTCATTTCCCTTCTCCCTCCTTCCCATTGTTCCCTCCCTCTCCCTCTCCCTCTCCCTCCCCTCTCCCTCCCCATCCCACTCCTCTTTCGCCTCCCCCTGCCTCTCCCCACCGTTTCACCAGTGGAGGATAGCAAAATCGATATTGGCGACTTTTTCAAGGGCGATTTACCCAAGAAATTCCTCATGCTCCTGGGTCTGCTCGCTCTATCCCGCGTGGGAATCTACATTCCCCTGTGGGGCGTTGATATCTCCGCCTTCCAGGAGCAACTGGGGGAGGGCTCATTCCTAGCCACCCTAGATACCCTCTCAGGGGGAGGAATTGGACGGCTGGGATTGTTTTCGCTGGGCATCGTGCCGTATATCAACGCTCAGATCGTGTTCCAGCTGCTGGGGACGCTGTATCCCAAGATTGGGGATCTGCAGAAGAAGGAAGGGGAGGCGGGGAGGAAGAAGGCGCAGCAGTACATGAAGTACATGGCAGTGGTGTTCGGTGCTCTGCAGGTATATCTATTGACTCGTAAACTCTAAGCGATATAAGAACACTCGATAGTAGGTAGGCAGGTTGTTAGCACGAAGGGAAGAAGGAAGGGGAGGCGGGGAGGAAGAAGGCGCAGCAGTACATGAAGTACATGGCAGTGGCGTTTGGTGCTCTGCAGGTATGTTGACAGTAGCCCATGCGACACAGCAATAAAAATCGTCTGGCTCTGCTGCAGCAGGTGGGTGCATGACAGTAGCCCATGCGACACAGCAACAAAAATCGTGTTCCAGCTGCTGAGGACGTTGTATCCCAAGATTGGCGATCTGCAGAAGAAGGAAGGGGAGGCGGGGAGGAAGAAGGCGCAGCAGTACATGGTCATGAAGTATATGGCTGTGGCGTTCGGTGTTCTGCAGGTATGATGATTCGCTACAAGCACACTCTAAGAACACTGATTCGATATAAGAACACTTAATGGTAAGTTGGTGGCTAGCAAGAGGAGGGGAAGGAGGGGAAGGCGAGGCGGGGAGGAAGAAGGCGCAGCAGTACATGAAGTGCATGGCAGTGGCGTTCGGTGCGCTGCAGGTGTGTCTATTGATTCGTTGCAGTCTGCGTGTGTTAATCTGATAGAAGAAATCTCAAAGGTTGGCATTTAGCAGAAGAACGGGGAGGGGCTGTAGATGGCTCGGGAGGCAGGGAGGGAGAAGGCGCAGCAGTATTTGAACAATTAGATGGCTGTTGCGTTTGGCGCTCTCAGGTGGCCTCTCTCTCCCATCTTTCCCTGCCTGCCTCCCCCAAGGCTATCGGTCAAGTGGCCTACCTGCAGCAGTATGCCTACGACCCCTCAGTCGCCTGGGCAGTCTCAGCCGTTTCGAGCCTCACCCTCAGCTCCGTGGCAGTCATCCTGCTGGGAGACAATATCACCCATCTCTTCCCTCTCTTCCCTCTCTTCCCTCTCTTCCCTCTCTTCCCTCTCTTCCCTCTCTTCCCTCTCTTCCCTCTCTTCCCTCTCTTCCCTCTCTTCCCTCTCTTCCCTCTCTTCCCTCCCTCCCTCCCTCCCTCCCTTGCCCCCCAACACCAGGCTATCGGGCAGGTGGCCTACCTCCAGCAGTACGCCTACGACCCATCGGTCGCCTGGGCAGTCTCAGCCGTCTCAGGCCTCACCCTCGGCTCCGTAGCAGTCATCCTCCTCGGAGACAAGATCACTGACCTCAAGCTCGGCAACGGGACCTCTCTGCTCATCTTCACCAACATCGTCTCGTACCTGCCGGCGTCCATTGGACGGACGATTTCGGAGGCCACAGAGCAGGGGAACGTAACCGGAGAGGCGCTGCTGCTGGCCTCCTTCCTGCTGCTCGTGTTCGGGATTGTCTACGTGCAGGTGGGTTCTTGTTCCCTACCTCTCTGTCTGTTTGCCTCTTTGTCTCTCTGCCTGCCTGCCTGCCTGCCTGCCTTCTCCGACCTAAAGCTCGGCAACGGCACCTCTCTGCTCATCTTCACCAACATCGTTTCCTACCTGCCGGCGTCGATTGGGCGGACAGTGTCCGAGGCGACTGAGCAGGGGAATTTCACCGGAGAGGCGCTGCTTCTGGCTTCGTTCCTGCTGCTCGTCTTTGGGATCGTCTACGTCCAGGTGGGTTCTTGTTCTCTGCCTCTCTGCCTCTCTGCCTCCCTGCCCCAGACTCGGCAACAGCACCACCTCTCTGCTCATCTTCACAAACATCGTGTCCTACCTGCTTGCGTCCATTGGACGGACGATCACAGAGGCCACGGAGCAGGGGAAACTTACTGGAGAGGCGTTGCTGCTGGCCTCCTTCCTGCTGCTCGTGTTCGGGATCGTCTTCGTGCAGGTGAGTTGGCGTGCTGCTTCTCCCCTGCCTGTCTTCCTTCTCCTATGTCTATCAACTATGCGTCTCGATACAACCAACCAATTCTACATCCCCTTCCCCTCTTCTCCGTTCTTCCCACTCCCCCCACCACCCCTACCACCACTACAACTTAACTCTTCCACATATCAGGAGGCAGAGAGGCGTATTCCCATTAACTATGCATCGCGGTACAACCAACCACACCACAACTCCCCCAACCCCTTCCATTTCCCCCACGCCCCCCTTCCCACCACCCTCTCCCTCCGAGCAGGAGGCAGAGCGGCGTTTTCCCATCAACTATGCATCGCGGTACAACATCAAGACTCGGAACGCGTACCTGCCATTCAACCAACCACAACTCCACAACTATCTCTCACCTCCCACCCTCTCCACAACTATCCCCTTTCCTGCGAGCAGGAGGCAGAGCGGCGTATTCCCATCAACTATGCATCGCGGTACAACATCAAGACTCGGAATGCGTACCTGCCATTCAAGGTAACACCTCTCCTTTAATTGAAGATAACCCCACCCCAACCCCTTGAAGATAAGACTTTCTGTTAGAAGGTAACACCTTCTTTCTTTCTCTTGCATCAACCCCTCACTCACTCCCCCCCCCCCCCCGTCCCCCCACCTGTGCGCTCAACTCAACAGAAGCCATGCCCATCGTTTTCTCCTCTCCTCATTTTATCCAACCCCCAATCATCCTCATTTTATCCAACCCCCAATCATCCTCATTTTATCCAACCCCCAATCATCCTCATTTTATCCAACCCCCAATCATCCTCATTTTATCCAACCCCCAATCATCCTCATTTTATCCAACCCCCAATCATCCTCATTTTATCCAACCCCCAATCATCCTCATTTTATCCAACCCCCAATCATCCTCATTTTATCCAACCCCCAATCATCCTCATTTTATCCAACCCCCAATCATCCTCATTTTATCCAACCCCCAATCATCCTCATTTTATCCAACCCCCAATCATCCTCATTTTATCCAACCCCCAATCATCCTCATTTTATCCAACCCCCAATCATCCTCATTTTATCCAACCCCCAATCATCCTCATTTTATCCAACCCCCAATCATCCTCATTTTATCCAACCCCCAATCATCCTCATTTTATCCAACCCCCAATCATCCTCATTTTATCCAACCCCCAATCATCCTCATTTTATCCAACCCCCAATCATCCTCATTTTATCCAACCCCCAATCATCCTCATTTTATCCAACCCCCAATCATCCTCATTTTATCCAACCCCCAATCATCCTCATTTTATCCAACCCCCAATCATCCTCATTTTATCCAACCCCCAATCATCCTCATTTTATCCAACCCCCAATCATCCTCATTTTATCCAACCCCCAATCATCCTCATTTTATCCAACCCCCAATCATCCTCATTTTATCCAACCCCCAATCATCCTCATTTTATCCAACCCCCAATCATCCTCATTTTATCCAACCCCCAATCATCCTCATTTTATCCAACCCCCAATCATCCTCATTTTATCCAACCCCCAATCATCCTCATTTTATCCAACCCCCAATCATCCTCATTTTATCCAACCCCCAATCATCCTTTTTATCCAACCCCCAATCATCCTCATTTTATCCAACCCCCAATCATCCTCATTTTATCCAACCCCCAATCATCCTCATTTTATCCAACCCCCAATCATCCTCATTTTATCCAACCCCCAATCATCCTCATTTTATCCAACCCCCAATCATCCTCATTTTATCCAACCCCCAATCATCCTCATTTTATCCAACCCCCAATCATCCTCATTTTATCCAACCCCCAATCATCCTCATTTTATCCAACCCCCAATCATCCTCATTTTATCCAACCCCCAATCATCCTCATTTTATCCAACCCCCAATCATCCTCATTTTATCCAACCCCCAATCATCCTCATTTTATCCAACCCCCAATCATCCTCATTTTATCCAACCCCCAATCATCCTCATTTTATCCAACCCCCAATCATCCTCATTTTATCCAACCCCCAATCATCCTCATTTTATCCAACCCCCAATCATCCTCATTTTATCCAACCCCCAATCATCCTCATTTTATCCAACCCCCAATCATCCTCATTTTATCCAACCCCCAATCATCCTCATTTTATCCAACCCCCAATCATCCTCATTTTATCCAACCCCCAATCATCCTCATTTTATCCAACCCCCAATCATCCTCATTTTATCCAACCCCCAATCATCCTCATTTTATCCAACCCCCAATCATCCTCATTTTATCCAACCCCCAATCATCCTCATTTTATCCAACCCCCAATCATCCTCATTTTATCCAACCCCCAATCATCCTCATTTTATCCAACCCCCAATCATCCTCATTTTATCCAACCCCCAATCATCCTCATTTTATCCAACCCCCAATCATCCTCATTTTATCCAACCCCCAATCATCCTCATTTTATCCAACCCCCAATCATCCTCATTTTATCCAACCCCCAATCATCCTCATTTTATCCAACCCCCAATCATCCTCATTTTATCCAACCCCCAATCATCCTCATTTTATCCAACCCCCAATCATCCTCATTTTATCCAACCCCCAATCATCCTCATTTTATCCAACCCCCAATCATCCTCATTTTATCCAACCCCCAATCATCCTCATTTTATCCAACCCCCAATCATCCTCATTTTATCCAACCCCCAATCATCCTCATTTTATCCAACCCCCAATCATCCTCATTTTATCCAACCCCCAATCATCCTCATTTTATCCAACCCCCAATCATCCTCATTTTATCCAACCCCCAATCATCCTCATTTTATCCAACCCCCAATCATCCTCATTTTATCCAACCCCCAATCATCCTCATTTTATCCAACCCCCAATCATCCTCATTTTATCCAACCCCCAATCATCCTCATTTTATCCAACCCCCAATCATCCTCATTTTATCCAACCCCCAATCATCCTCATTTTATCCAACCCCCAATCATCCTCATTTTATCCAACCCCCAATCATCCTCATTTTATCCAACCCCCAATCATCCTCATTTTATCCAACCCCCAATCATCCTCATTTTATCCAACCCCCAATCATCCTCATTTTATCCAACCCCCAATCATCCTCATTTTATCCAACCCCCAATCATCCTCATTTTATCCAACCCCCAATCATCCTCATTTTATCCAACCCCCAATCATCCTCATTTTATCCAACCCCCAATCATCCTCATTTTATCCAACCCCCAATCATCCTCATTTTATCCAACCCCCAATCATCCTCATTTTATCCAACCCCCAATCATCCTCATTTTATCCAACCCCCAATCATCCTCATTTTATCCAACCCCCAATCATCCTCATTTTATCCAACCCCCAATCATCCTCATTTTATCCAACCCCCAATCATCCTCATTTTATCCAACCCCCAATCATCCTCATTTTATCCAACCCCCAATCATCCTCATTTTATCCAACCCCCAATCATCCTCATTTTATCCAACCCCCAATCATCCTCATTTTATCCAACCCCCAATCATCCTCATTTTATCCAACCCCCAATCATCCTCATTTTATCCAACCCCCAATCATCCTCATTTTATCCAACCCCCAATCATCCTCATTTTATCCAACCCCCAATCATCCTCATTTTATCCAACCCCCAATCATCCTCATTTTATCCAACCCCCAATCATCCTCATTTTATCCAACCCCCAATCATCCTCATTTTATCCAACCCCCAATCATCCTCATTTTATCCAACCCCCAATCATCCTCATTTTATCCAACCCCCAATCATCCTCATTTTATCCAACCCCCAATCATCTTCTCCTCCTCCCTCCTCGCTGCTCCCTGCCCTCTCATTCACCCCTTCTCTCTCCTCTACTCTGTTCTCCCCCCCCCCGGCAGGTCAACTCAACGGGAGTCATGCCAATCATCTTCTCCTCCTCCCTCCTCGCTGCTCCCTACTCCATCGCTCGCTTCACTGGCAGCGCTGCCTTCCAGTCCGCTGCTACAGCTCTCTATCCCGGAGGTAGGTTAGGTAGTAGCAATATTCAAAGGTTACCACAGGACCTGGGAACAGGGTAACCAGACTTTCTCCATACCAGACTGCTTCCCACTCCATCGCTCGCTTCACTGGCGGCGCTGCCTTCCAGTCCGCTGCTACGGCACTCTACCCTGGAGGTAGGTTAGCTCGACTCTAATGGTACCAACAATGTCTAGTTCCATGGTAATCACGAAGATGAGTGACATGGTAACCACACTGATGTGCCCTACTCCGTCGCTCGCTTCACCGGCAGTGCTGCCTCCCAGTCCGCTGCTACAGCTCTCTACCCCGGAGGTAGGTTAGGTAGCAGCAGCATTCCAAGGTTACCACAGGACCTAGTGACAGGATAACCAGACTTTCCCCATACCAGGCTGCTCCCCACTCCGTAACTCACTTCACCAGCAGTGCTGCCTTCCAGTCCGCTGCAACGGCTCTCTATTCCGGAGGTAGGTCACTTATGCTACATGGTAACCACAAGAGTTAGTCGCAAGGTAACCACTCTGATCCAATCTGCTCCTCCAGGCTCCAACGTCCACATCTTTCTGCAACTCACTCATTCACCGTCTTTCTGCAATGTGATCAGTGCCACGTTGGCGAATGTACCCCCTTCAGGTTTCTTCTACCTACCCTCCAACGTGGCACTGATCACATTTTTCAACCACTTCTACACCTTCCTGCAAGTCACTCACTCACCGTCTTTCTTTTTCCCTACCCCATTCAGGTTTCTTCCACCTGCCTGTCAACATGGCACTGGTTGCATTCTTCAACTACTCCTACACCTTCCTGCAATTCACTCACTCTCTCCATTCCCTTTATGTCTCCTTGTTGTATCTTATCAACCCCCCTCCAGGTTTCTTCGACCTACCTGCCTGCGTGGCACTGATCGCCTTCTTCAACTACTTCTACACACCCTCCTGTCACTCAATCGCTCCCCTTTCTTTCTACTTATTGTATCCTATTGCTCTTATCCCTCTCCTCTTCAGGTTTCTTCTATCTCCCTGCCAACGTGGCCCTCATCGCCTTCTTCAACTACTTCTACACCTTCCTGCAACTCGACCCTGCGGACGTCAGCGACCAGCTCAAGAGGCAGGGCGCCTCCGTGCCCAACACCCGCCCTGGGAAAGCAACAGCCGCGCTCATCACCAAGGTGGGTTGTTTTGGATTCACGGTCTCAAGTTATTTTTTTTCCGTGACAAGACCAGTTCAAGAGGCAAGGCGCCTCCGTACCCAACACTAGGCCCGGCAAAACAACAGCCGTACTCATCGCCAAGGTGAGTAGCCCTTGTTCATTCATTGTAAGTTAGTAACTGATCGCCGGTTCATTCATGCGGCTTATGGCTCTCTCTCTCTCTCTCTCTCTCTCTCTCTCTCTCTCTCTCTCTCTCTCTCTCTCTCTCTCTCTCTCTCTCTCTCTCTCTCTCTCTCTCTCTCTCTCTCTCTCTCTCTCTCTCTCTCTCTCTCTCTCTCTCTCTCTCTTTCTCTCTCAAGCGGTCCTTGTATTAGCAACCAGAAAAGTACAGACATGCACGGGAGAATAAGGCACCTGGAACATGTACCGTAGGTACTAACCCCGCCCCTTCATCCCCCTCTCCCTACCGCTCCATCTAAGGGAGCTCCAGTGCCGGCTCCAGGATTGCTTTTGAGGCGCCTCAAAAATGACCTTCATCCCCCTCTCCCTACCGCTCCACCTAAGGGAGCTCCAGTGCCGGCTCCAGGATTGCAAAGCGATCCCCGAGGGACATGGCCTCTCCCGGCATCCCCACAGGTGGGTTTTCCACCTGTGCCGCGAAGTTGCATTTCGTCATGAAACTCACCGACTGAGCACGCTGCAGCGCCACACACCAACGCTGACGGAACTGATGCAGCAGCTTCGTGGCCTGGTAAGAGGAAGGGGGGGCGTCGAAGTGCCTGCGGGCAGCGGTGTCAGCGAGGAGTTTGAGGAATGCGGGGACTTCCGCGCACGGGCATTCTTAAGTCTCGACGGCCAGGGGGAAGAATCCAACCCATGAGGCCGTCGAACCTTCATAGTCAGATATTTTCTTGTCTGCCACTTCGCATGCCGCCCAGCCCCTCCCTTTGATTGCATTGGGGTCACGGGTGCTAATGGGGTCCGTGATTGTCACATCCCCGATCCAAATGGCTCCGGACGAGCGGTCCCGTATGGCGATGTCGGCTTTCTTCCTGGTGACTAGGCAGAACGCTGTTGTTTCGCTGTGGGTCATGAAGCCCGTGTCTTCCGCCATGCGTACGCACTCATCACGCGGTTCGTTGTGAGTATTGGTCCGCCCCCCTCCTCTGTCGCAGCGGAGCAGGTGTTTGGGCAGCCTGCTGTCGGTGATTTCGACTTCCTTGCGGCAGTCACAGGCGCCTGGGGCTGAGGAAGGCAAGCCCATCCGAAACTGCAGCGTGTGGGCAAAGTGGGCCGGGGTGAGGCGTAGCGAGGAGGTGAAGGGAACCGCGTGCAGCCAGTCCTCTGCCCCGTATCTCGAGAGGGAGAGCATGCGCTGGGTGTGGCCACTGAGGGGGTTGAGCTGCATCGCGCGCGTGTCTTGGACCTGCTCGGCGTAGCGTAGCCCGTGGACTGCTATTGCCAGTCCATGCTGCATGTTGATGCCCTTTGGCTCAGCCCGCTCACTCTGCAGCAGCTCCTTTCCTTCGTCCGGCAATGCATTTTCGCACCTCTCCAACCAGTTGAAAAGCGGGGCTGTGTTTTCGAAGGGACCGGACATCCGGGCCCGCGTTTCTGCCAGAGCGCCTGCTGCTGCCTCGTCGATGGAGGAGAGTAAGTGACTGGCCTGTGTGTAGCTTGCCAGGAACCCTACTCGGCCCTCCACCGAAGGATCCGCCAGGCCCAGACCTCCAAGCGAAACCGGGAGTGAAGCCTGTGCCCAGGTGCGTGCTATCCCGGCTTCACCCCTCGGATGGCGTATCCCGCAAGCTGTTAACAGAGTTTCAAACAACCGCTTCCCCCAGTCCGACCACTCCTCAATTGGCAGGGCTGACAGCGGTGTTGTACGAGCCACGTAGCAGACGCGGCGCGAAATGCAGCGAGTGAGCAGGAGGGAAGCCAGCTGCGGGTCCATTTGTGCTATCAGGCGGAGCGGGATACCCATTGCATTGAGGCTGTCACGAAGGAAGGATGCCGTAGCATTGGTCCCGCCAATGAAGCTGCCCAGCACCTTCACACCTCCGTCTGTGAAAGGCACGCCGTGGGGCAAGGCTGCCATCTGCTGCTCTGCTCGAGACCATGCCGCACATTTGGAAGGGTTGTGGCACAACCCAATCCCAGAGAGGCTGTCGGTGAAATAATCGAAGGCCGCCGTACAGCCCGCCGCCTCACCCAAGAAGGTTACGTCGTCCGCGTAAGCAAGGCATACGACGGATGGGTAGGCCTGAGCCATGCGTTTCAGCGCGGGATGCATAGCGGCAGCAAAAAGCAGGGGGCCGAGGGGGTCGCCTTGCCTCACCCCAGTTTCGCTCGAGAGAGGTGCGTGTGAGAAGCCGGCATCCAGGAAGAGAGCAGAAGGTTGACCGTAGGAGAACTTGACCAGGGGGAGGAGAGAGGCCAGTGGGGAACCGCGGAGGGAGTCTACAATCGCTGCCTGGTCGACGCTGTTGAAAGCATTCGCTAAATCCGCCTGTAGAACCGCTACAACTCTCTCTCTCTACTCTCTCTCTTCTCTCTCTCTCTCTCTATCTCTCTCTCTCTCTCTCTCTCTCTCTCTCTCTCTCTCTCTCTCTCTCTCTCTCTCTCTCTCTCTCTCTCTCTCTCTCTCTCTCTCTCTCTCTCTCTCTCTCTCTCTCTCTCTCCTCTCTCTCTCTCTCTCTCTCTCTCTCTCTCTCTCTCTCTCTCTCTCTCTCTCTCTCTCTCTCTCTCTCTCTCTCTCTCTCTCTCTCTCTCTCTCTCTCTCTCTCTCTCTCTCTCCCTCTCTCGGCAGGCAAAGCACATCTGTGGCCAACACTAGATCCGGCAAGGCAACAGCTGCGCTCATGACACAAAGACCAGCTGTGATAAGTGCAGCAATGCATGTGTGATAAGGCCAGCTCAAGAGGCAGGGAAGATCTGTGTCAAAAATTTCGCAGGAAAAACATCTCGTGATTTCATCTCTTCTCTCTCTCTCCTCCCATTTCCCTCTCTCTGTCCCTCTTTCATTTCCTCCCCTTTGCCATCCCCCTTTCCTTCTTTCCCTTTCTCTTGCTCCTTGGCTTACTAAACCCCAGGTCCTCACTCGCATTTCGGTGCTTGGGTCGGCATTTCTTGGCACGATGGCAGCAGCGCCGGCTCTTGTGGAAGGAATCACCCACCTCACGGCCTTCAGGGGGTTCGCGGGTACGTCCATCCTCATTTTAGTCGGATGCGCTACGGATACAGCAAGGAAGGTGCAGGCGGAGCTGGTTTCGCAGAAGTATAGGACGATCGAGCTGGATGATATCAGTGCAGGCAGCGGTGGGATTCCGCCTCCTAGGTAAATCACGAGGTTGGGGTTTTAGAGCGGCATGGGTGGTTTCGCAGAAGTATAGGACGATTGAGCTGGATGATATCAGTGCGGGTGGCGGAGGTGGTATTCCACCTCCCCAGGTGAATCCTGATGTTGGAGTTTTAGAGCGGCATGTGTGTGCACAAGGTGTTGAACAGGCTCCTCCTATGGGTTTTGCTGATGTGAAACATAGGTGTATACTAGGGAACTTGCTTTAGGACAAAGTTTTGCATGTGTTACCTTGTACTAAGGTCTGCATGTGCTACGCCACAGATGTTAAGCTAAAGAAGTGCGTTACTGATTTAAAGCTTCATGTTGGGACGGGATGTTGTGCTTGTATTGAGTTCCAGCCATACCAGAACCTAGCTTGTTTTCCCTATTTCGGCTCCGAATAGTGTCATTCTCAGCACGAGACGAGGGACCAGTTCTGTTGCCCAGCGGCAAATGGAGGGCGGATAGCACAGCTCAGCACCACTGGTGCGGCTGAGTGCTTCCGCGAAGCCAGGAACCCTCCACGGTGGTGCGAAACAGCATCCTGCCACCCTACGCGCAACTGCGGGGGGTTCGTAAAAGTTTTGTTTTGAAGACCGTCAAAATGTTTCCCACGACGATAATTGGTTTGCCTGTTGCAATAGAGCCACCCAATGCCACAAATAATTTTCGTAACCAGTGGGACACTGCCCTCTCCCGTAACGCTTTTTTTTTCGGGGCATTTTTCCTGCCCGAACTACTTGTGCTGTCCCCGGGTCCCCGACTCGAGCGGGAACCAGTCTCGCACCCAGTTTGCCTGGGAGGAGGGGAGGGCACAGCACTACAGTTCTGCGTACTTTTGCACCAGGTGGGCCGCACAGCAGAGCACAGCACTGACCAGGTTCGGGATGGAGTTCAAAGTCCCGAGCCTGTTTCAAGGAATACGCCCTTGAAAATATCTTCGAAGACCACCGGAAGAGGCCCTCACGAAGCATCATCTTGTGCTGTGCGGAAGGGTCTGCACAAGTAGTGCGGCAACAGAACTGGGCCGAGGTTCTGCCCTCCTGGCAAGTCCCCAACCCACTCCGTCTCCGTGTATCTGAGCCGTTCGTTCCCCTTCTTGGTGAAGTGAGATAAATTCGAACGGACCAAACCGGAATATACGCCCTTGCAGCTCTGCCTTAGCAAACTCCCATCTCCCTGCCGAATCACGAGCAGCTCTTGGCGCTGAACTCTTTCCAAATCTAAACCTTGAACTAGACTCTACAAACTTACTTGGATCTGCTTTTTGCAGTTCTCGTTTCCACATGTGGTGAGATATGTACAGCTCAGCTCTACAGCAACAACTACCTGTTTAGGGGGATTTTGTCACCTGGCCTTATTCTGCAATCAACAATGCCATTTTCCGTGTATCGGAAATAAAATGCTCCAAGCGGGAGTGACCGCCAATATATCGCCGTTATAACAATGTAACGCTGCATCGAAGCCTCAGCCTTCGGAACTGTTGATCAATATCAGTTCCTTCGAGCTGCTGAAAGGTGCAACTTTCTGGTAAACCCTGACGATGACGGCGATTCACTCGCAGAATGCTCGAAGCATTCCGCTGGCGATTAACTTTCTGAAGGATGCGAACGTGAAGATGACGACCAGCCGTCAGCTGTACCCAAGGATCACCGTCTGATCCGTCACGTGGAGTTGGGAATCCGGCGTCCAGGCTGATCCGTGGCGATAAATCGCAAGGCTGCTTGCGACTCTAAATCTGGTACGCCATTATCTTCACAGGATTTTCCCTTGTTTTCTTCCCTATAAGCACATTTTGTCACTGTCGAGGCTAGGAGCTTACTTCTCCTCTCTCGACTTCTCCTTATGTGCGATATCAAACCACAAGACGCCTTTCGGGGACACTGCGAGATCCGTAGGGGCTTGCGCCATCCTACGGTTCCTGTTCCAGAGGCGATATTATTATCCCAACCTGGTTATGGTATTCAAATATATCTATATATATTTATGAACTTATTGCATTAACCACCATTCTTATCGCCGCTTGTCTTGCTGTGTTGAACTCGTATCCCACTTTTCTCAGTGTTCCAATCAGACCAGCGGATCTTCAATGCGGTCCCTTATTACTGCTCCAGCGTGGCACACCACCCTAAGGAGACGACTTCTTCGCTTCAACCCTCTCTTGTCAGAGCAGCAGTGCCCACAATGCTGGTCGAATCCTTCCGACTGGGTACGGCTTCCGAATGTCCTGTAAACCGTACTCTGTATTACGGTAATTACCATGTCGTTTGGTTGATCTATAAGAGTGATACACTAAGATGTCAAATGTTGTAGCCTATAGTGAGGTTTGTCTTAGGGGGTACAAAACTTAGGGTTAGCTATATGTACCCCAACCAACATCAATGCATCATCCATTCTTCATTTCGACATGGTATCAGTTAGGTTAGGATCCTGTGGGATCCCGTTCCTCCGTTCTCCGTTCGAGCCTCCCGAGCCTGATCCTAGCTCTCATTCGTCCCGGTTCCGTTGTTACCGCGCGTAGTGCCGCGCCTAGCGCCACTCCTAGCGTCGCGTCCTGCCCGCCCTTTCCCCCTCGTCGCGTCCCTTTCCCCCCGTCGCGTCGCGCCCTTTCCCCCCGTCGCGTCGCCCCCTTTCCCCCCGTCGCGTCGCGCCCTTTCCCCCCGTCACGTCGCCCTGCCCCGTCCCGTCGCCCTGCCCCGTCCCGTCGCCCTGCCCCGTCGCGTCGCCCTGCCCCGTCGCGTCGCCCTTTTCCGTCCCGTCGCCCTTCCCCGTCCCGTCGCCCTGCCCCGTCGCGTCGCCCTGCCCCGTCGCGTCGCCCTTCCCCGTCCCGTCGCCCTCCCCGTCCCGTCGCCCTGCCCCGTCGCGTCGCCCTGCCCCGTCGCGTCGCCCTGCCCCGTCGCATCGCGCCCGCCCTTTCCCCCGTCCCGTCGACCCTACGCCCTGGCCCGTCGCCCTAGCCCGTTCTTCCGCTGCGACTAAGTCCCCCCCCCCCACCTGAACCCTAATTTGCCTCTTACCTCCTACTGTTACTCGCCTGCTCGTTCGCGTTAGTTCTCGCTATGGCGACTCCGCGAGTTCTTCGTTTCGACGCTGACGGTAGACCTCTTGACTTTTCCGTCTGGCTTCTTCGCGCTCGCCGTCTGTTAGAGAGTCAAGTCCAGGGGGGCGAGACCCTCTGGTTGCACGCTACTGGTGACCTCCCCGAGCCCCCCGAGCCTGCCGCTTTAGGTCCTGCCCCTGACGATGCTGCTACGGCTCGCTTTGCCCGTCAGCGCGCTGACAGGACGGCTTGGACGTCGCGTGACGCTGCGGCCTGCATCGCACTCAGCAGCCTCCTCCCTGAGTCAGAGGAGGTCCACTTCACTCAGGTTCGCACCGCTGCTGCGTACCTCACTGCGATTAAGGCCCGCTACTCTACTCCCGCTACTGTCTCTCTTGGCCGTCTTTTCCTCCCGTTCCTGTTTCCTGATCTCGCCTCGTTTGAGCGCTCTGCTGACTTGATCGCTCACCTCCGCTCGCTCGACGCTAGTTACCGCGCTGCTTGCACTGAGGCACAGCTTGCACTGCTTCCTCCCCCTATGGCGATTACTATCTATTTCATCGCCACTAGCCTCCCTGACCGCCTTGCCTCCGTTCGCGACGCGCTTCTGCTGAAGCACCCTAGTGAGCTCACCGTCGATGTCCTTGAGTCTGCACTCAAGGACGTCGAGAGCAACCTTCGCTCGGTAGCCGGTGCCTCTGGTGCTGTGCCCCCCCCACTCTTCCACGGGTGCACAGTCCCGCAGTTACCCACCTTTACTGCCTCAATTGCCACTGCCGCTACTGACGCGACTGCAGCTGCTGTTACGACTGCGTCGCGGTCCCGCGGTAGAAGTGGCAAGAAAGGCAGTTCTGGTGGTGGTAGTGGAGGTGGAGGCGGAGGTAGTGGAGGTGGCGTTGCGCCTGGCGGCGGTGGAGGTTCAGGGCCTGGAGAGGCGCCTCGTGCAGTGACTGGTGACTCCACTGCGCCTGCTGGTGGTGGCGATGCTCGAGTTCGTCAGTCGCCTCCTGTACTTCCTGCCCCGGTTGGTGGAGCAGCGGCGTGGTACCAGGCTCAGCGTCAGCAGCAGCTTCTGCAGCAGCAGCAGCCCCTCTCCTCCCAGCAGCCTCAGCAGCAGCAGCGGCAGCAGCTGGCTCCAGGGTCGGGGCTGCGTCAGACCCAGCGCGGTGCTGCTTACACTCCCTGCACCTACCAGGTTCTGACAGGCACTCGTCGTGGCCACCCTTGTGGCCGGTTTCACCCCCCTGGTCAGTGCTTTGCTCAGCTCACTGACACGGTTCGTTTGGTCTACGGGGTTGGTGCTCCTGCCCCTGACTGGCTGCCTCTTGTTCAGCGTTACGGCTCCGCTCTGTGGGGCATGTCTGCTGAGCAGTTAGTTGATCTGATTGGTACTCCCCATGCTATGTATGCTGTTGTTGACTCTAGTGTTTCTGACTCTGCTTACTCTGGTGTTGTTAGCTTAGGTGCTAGCCTTGCTCAGTTGCTGTTGCTAGTGTAGGTTCTTGTGTAGACTCTAGTCCAGCGGCTACCTCAGAGGACGGTTCGCTGTCGTTCACGCTGGACTCTGGAGCCTCTCACTGCTTCTTTCGTGACAGCACGACACTTACGCCTCTTCCTGCGCCTGTTTCTGTGGCGCTGGCTGATCCCACTTCGGGACCAGTCACCGCGCGTCACACTACCACCTTGCCGTGTCCGGCTGCTCCTTCTGGGTCTTTCACTGGGTTTCACGTCCCCTCGTTCTCCCGGAACTTGGTGGGCGTGCGACCCCTCGTGAGTCAGCACGTGGGTGTGTGGTTTGAGCCTTCTGGAGAGACTGCGGTGTGTGTTGACGGGGACTCTTACCAGCCCCTCGCCACTTTTGCTGCTGAGCCGGGCTCCGGTCTCTACACTCTTCACACTGGCCCGCGCGCTCAGCAGCGACTGCAGCAGCAGCAGCAGCCGCAGCAGCAGCAGCAGCCGCAGCAGCAGCAGCGGCAGCAGCCGCAGCCGCAGCCACAGCGGCCGCCGTCGCAGCAGCCACTCCTCCCAGTTCCTGTCCTTCCCCCTAGTCTCCTCCCTGCGTCTCACCAGGTGGTTCCGTCCCTTCAGGTTGTCGCGTCCAGTCCAGTCGCTGCGTCTTGCTCCTGTCGGTCGCTTGCCCACCCCACCGTTCTGTGGCACCACCGGATGGGACACCCTTCTCTTCCACGTCTGCGTGCTATGTCTAGTCAGCGTCTGGTCTTAGGTCTCCCGCGTGTCTTGCCGTCGCTGCCGCCGTCCCTTGCACCACCGTGCGGTCCTTGCGTCGAGGATAGGCTGCGTGCCACCCCTCACTCCTCCTCCCTTCGTCCGGCCACCGAGCCTTTTGAGACGCTGCACTTGGACGTCTGGGGCCCCTCTCCTCGCCCTGGCCCTGAGCGTGAGCGTTTCTTTTTGGTGGTCGTTGACGACTACTCCCGCTACACCACAGTGTTCCCCCTGGCGAGGAAGTCTGAGGTGACTTCTACGCTGATCAGGTGGTTGCTTACCACCCAGGACACTCGTGGTCGTCGTGTCAGCTGTCTCCACTCCGACCGCGGGGGCGAGTTTCGCTCCGGCATTCTCGCTGGATTCTGTCGCGAACAGGGCATTCGTCAGTCCTGGACGCTTCCGGAGTCCCCACAGCAGAATGGGGTTGCTGAGCGTCGCATAGGCCTGGTCATGGAGATTGCCCGCACCTCCTTGACTCACGCCCGTGCCCCCCATTTCCTGTGGCCATACGCAGTCAGGTACGCCGCGCACCAGCTGAACCTCTGGCCACGCGTCTCTCGGCCGGAGGCTTCACCGACCAGTCTTTGGACAGGGTCCCCTGGTGTCGCGTCGAGGTTTCGTGTCTGGGGGTGCTTGGCTCTTGTCCGCGACACCTCCGCGGACAAGCTCTCGCCTCGCGCCGTTCCTTGTGTCTTCCTTGGTTTTCCTGAGGACTCCTCTGACTTCACCTTTTACCACCCACCCTCTCACCGGTTCTTTGACTCCCGTGACGTCCGTTTCGAGGAGTCCACCCCCTACTACGTCAGGTACCCCAGTCGAGGTCTCCCGGTCCCTCCCCCCCCTCTCTTCCTGACCGCCGCTCCCCCGCCTGCTCCCCCGGTACAGCCTCCCCCCCCTGGTCCAGCCCCGTCTGGTGTGTCTCAGGCTAGCCCTCCCCCTTCGGTAGCCCCTCCGGTACAGCCTCCCTCCCCACAGTCTTCCTCGCCGCCTCCTGCAGGTGCTCCCTCTCGGGAGGTTGGTCCTGCGACTGTCCCTGTACAGGTCTCTGGTTCTGGGGGTGCTGGAGTTGGAGCTGAGCCGCGGGTTGCAGAGGACTCTTGTCTTCCGGGGGCTGGCACTGGTCGTGCGGAGTCTGGGGGTGCTGGTGCGGAGTCTGGGGGTGCTGCGTCTGGGGGTGAGGGTGTCCCTTCGGTTTCTGGAGAGCCTGGGTCTGGAGCTGGTGTTGGTGCTGCCTCTGGGGGTGGTGTGCTTGGTGCTTCGGAGGTCGACTCTGGGGCTGCCGCTGCCCCGGACACTACTCCTTCCCCCCACCCCTACCCGACCAGGTTCCAGGCTCGTGTTCGCCGTGCTCGTGAGGAGCAGCTGGAGTTGGAGAGAGAGGAGAGAGAGTTGCAGCGGCTCGAGGAGCAGGAGCGACAGCAGCAGGGGCAGCAGCCGCTGGAGCAGCAGCAGCCGCAGCAGCAGCAGCTACCGTCTCCTCCTCCTGTCTCGGGTCTTCGGACCTTTGGTCTCCCCTCTCCCTCTCCTTCCTCCTCCCCTCTCCTCCCGTCTCTGGTCCTCCGCTTCCTCCTCCTGACCCCTCTCCCGCTGTTTTCCCTCGTTCTCAGTCTTCGTTGTCCCCTCCTCCTTCTCAGACTTGGGCCTCTCGTCGCTCCCCTCGTGCTCGTCCCTCGTCTCCTGTTCCCTTCACTGACCTTCGTACTGCCTTACTTCGTTCTAGTCCACCTCGTCCGTCTCCGTCTGTGCTTCCGTCTCCTCCTGAGTCGGCTCTCACTGCGTCGCTCCCTACTCCTGTCACAGACTACTACCGCACGTACCGTCCTCTTCTCTCTCGTGTTCTCGCCTCGCTTGTTACTCACCCTCGTGCCTCTGTGTCCTCTGTGTCCGCTCTTACTGCCGCAGTCACTGACTTTGCCTCTACCCGCCGCCTTGACTTCGCCACCGCTCTTGTGGCTGCTCCTCCT